GCCTGAGCCAAGCTGATGTGCTCTGGTACCATCTAATAGCTTCTGAAGCCACATTTCCTGCAGAATTTCTTTTCTCCTCTACTCCTTTTCTTTACCACTTGCTGAGCCAAGCGAGTGTACTTACCTCAACTACTTTTATTTGGAAGAAAAAGCAGGTGCAGTGTAGGACCCAAATTCCAAGCGAGCCCCAAAGGTGACTTCCTGCTGGAAAGATTTCCTCCCCAGTTCTACGATATGCCCCAACAATGCAAACCACACCACCAACAGCAAGTAGCACAGCTGAACAGAGGGCAATTCACTGCTGACGCACAGCTTAATCTGGATAAGAACTTCTCAGATGGGGGAGCTGCTTTTCTTTCAGAAGAAAACATGCTCCTCCAGGCACACTTTTTAAAAAGCTCACTTATCATAGCATGAGCTGTGATTGAAAGGCAGGGTAGTGAGGTGTCCTAATGACAGAGAATATTCTTCTATCTGAAGATCCACCAGTGTGCAGTCTCTATATGAAAGTGACCTCTGTTGGAATCGGTGTCCTGTCTATGTCCGGTTTTAAGATAAAGTCACAATACTCTTATCTGTATACTCTATTTTCTGCAATACATTGTGCTCAAAGAGGTCTATGAAAGCAAAGAAATGCAATTATTATAGTTATAATAGTATAGAATTCATGAATGGTTCATTTCAATGTTTTAAATAAGCCCAAGACATGCCAATAGGTAAGTTAACAATATGTAACACCAATAATAACAATATTATAATAACAATAATAACAATATTTTAAATAATAGCAATATTATATTCACATTAAACAATTCACTAAACACTTCCTAAAGAATCCTAAGAGAGTTGGGCCTTAAAGTTGTCCATCCACAACATCCACCATCCACAACAGGAAGCTGAGCAAGGCATATAGAGTACTTTTTCATGGTCTCCTACACCATGGCAAGACTGTATTTCTATTTAAATTATAATTATTGTTTCTAAATTAGCAAATGCCAGTGCTAATTTGTGTATGCTTCAGTCCTCTTTTTGTGCATGTATGGATTTTTTTTTTTTTTTTGCAATGCATAAATGGTCACCCTACCTTCTTATTTTAAGTCAAAAATTGGCAACCTTCTAGATCCCAAACACTTAGATGACTCTGTACCTTTTAAGAAGGAGATTCTCCTTTAAAGGGGAAACTTTTGTCAGAAAAAAATCCATATTTTCCAATAGATGTATCCAAGATTTATTGCCATCATCACAAGTAAAATCATTAATTGCTGTCCAACTGTTCTTTCTTTACTTCTACTGAATAAGCCTTCCAAGCCATTTCCAAGAAAAAAAATACTGTATCCCATTTTCTCCAGGCAGAAATAATTTATAAGGAACATGTTTTGATAACATACCTTTGTAGTAATGGATGCTTGATTGGTAAGCTTAACTATATTACCAATTTCCAAAAGTGATCTATCCTAGAATAAGGCTGGTTTTCCATCACAACACTGGCACAACTAGGCTGAAATATCCGACTCCTTAAATTTTTATGAGCTTTGCTTTTGTGCAGGCAGCCACAGAGCTTCAAGCTACTGCCTGTATTGTAGCAAATAAGCAAAGAAATCATCAAACACAAGAGGCTGATTTGATTGCTTAAATGTATCAGTGGGTTTCTTCCTTGTGTCCACACATGGAGCTGTTCAGAGCTGCCTGAAACATTCAATAGTTAGCAGTGTAGTTCTGTGCACATTTACTTAGAAATGAATTTCATTTCATTCAATGAGATGCACTAGTGAACATGGAATTGTAAACTTACACATATTCAGCCTTTATATAGAATTGTTTTCCATCCTTAACTTTATGAGACATACTGTGTGCATAAGGCTGGGTGACACTTGCCAAACAGTGCTAAATTTTGTAAATTAAAAGCAAATATGTTTTCAAGTGTTTCCCATATGACAATTGTTGTTTTTTTCAATATCACTGCAAGGGAAGTTGGGGGATGGTAGTAATTTGCACTTTCAAGCCTCCTTTTCTTTTACATTTTGTTCGGATTATAAAAGTGACATTTGTCTGACTCAGACGTAACTTGCTAAAGGTCTATCCTGTTGTATCATGATTTTGTTTCAGAAGGGCACATTAATCCCCCTCAGAAATAATTCCCCCACATGTGCAAAGATGGGGTGGCCACTTATGCATCTCCAAAAAGAGGAATGCATAGCCCAAGAGAGCATTATTTGCATAACTATATATATATCAAACAGAAATGCAATGTGTTTCACTATGACCAGGTGGCCTGTGTGACTACCCGGTTGATCTGCTGTTCAAATGCTGACTACTGGTGAGCAACTGCAAAGCTTTCATCCTACTGGGTTCTTATGAACTGGACTTGGACTGGGCAGGCTTACAAATAGAGGACACCTTCAAATAGAGAAGGGTCCTCTGACAGCCCTGGAAACAGGATTGTCTGGCACATGGAATCTTCTCAAACATAATTTTATTTATTTATTTATTAAAACCTTTTCTATCCTGTCCCCTACAAATGTCTCAGGACGGCTTACAATAAATAAGTAGAATAAAACAAACCTCACAGTATCCGATGATTAATATACTAAAACCCCACTCAAAATCAATTAAACATTAAAATAGCACAATCCTTGGGCTAAATATTGGGTTGTTAAGTCCCTAGGCGATCCAGTGCCTCAAGTTTGCATGTCATACTCAACAATCTATTACCTGGCCAGTAAGAGGTTGTTGAGGAAAAGGCGAAACGGGGAGTATTCAGGAGGAAGGGCATCTATGCACACCTGCTTGTGCATGACAACATATGGGTTGTAGCCATCCTCATTCCCATCTTCACTTCCACTTCACCCCAACCTTTGCATGTTGGCTGAGAAAAACTGAAGGGAGAATGTTGCATATTCAGAACACACTGAGTCCTCCACACTGTTTGGACTCCTGCCCAATCAGATTATAAGGACAATTTTAAATGCATTCAGACCTTCAACCCTCCCATTCAATATGTGCAGCTCAGGGAGACACTGGGGCTGCTGGGATGGGGAGTACAGTTGCTTTCCATCTTCCATGCACTTTAAAATGTGTCAAACAATAACTTCTGAGGTTTTTCTGTGCGTTTACCTGGTTTAGAAATACCTTGCAGTACTAAAAGGCAAAGCAAAGCATAATGACCTTGCTACATTGTTAGGAACAATGTTATCCAATCAATAAAGTTCTCTCTCTCTCTCTCTCTCTCTCTCTCTCTCTCTCTCTCTCTCTCTCTCATCCTGCCTAGATGACAAATGCACCCTACATTTTTTCTTCCTCCAAAAATGACCTATTCATATTAACATTATCTGGACTTTCAAAATAATTCCATTTCACCCTCCATAGGGAGAATTTGATTCTGAGTGTACGAGCACATACAGATCTGTATTAATATTACTTAATAGCTTCCAGTTGTTTGATTTTTGTTTTTTAGCATGTACCTTTTTATTGAAAATGAAATATTGGCCTCTTTTTTATGCTGAAAGCTAGTATGCAAATATAATGAATAAAGCATATCAGTGGCAGTAATCCTGTTTTCTAGGTGCCATGCAACCCTTATCCACTGTCACAGTAACAGTTCGTGCAGGTAATCAACTGGCAGGAAAAGTGTAGCCTGTGAGCTGGGGACTCATGCGGCAGCATGGCTCTTATGGGACAATCAACTTCCAGGGAGGAGTGAAGTTGGAAATGGACCTCAATTTCAGTGGTACACTTAGGTCATTTTAGATGCAGTACTTAATGGTGTTAAGTTCTCTGCCTTGAAAAGCTACCATGCATTAATTCAGTTACTTCAAAATATGGAAAACCAGTTCCACTGTGTTCTGGGGTCCACTGGGGTCGCTAGACATTTGCCCCAAACTCCAGCTCTTAAAGGCACCATTGCTTACTTCTCAAAAAATTCCATTTCATTAATTCTTCCTTCCGATTGTCCTCACATATGATTCAACTCCTATAGTACATCCCCCCACACACATTGCTACTGATAATTGTGTGAACAGGTAGAGACCACGCAGTGTCCTGCTTTCTATTTTTCTCCTGAAAATCTGGCCCTCATTAAGGACATGCAAATCATTACACTGAAGTTGATTCTTGTCCACAAAAGTATTAATCTTTAAGGTGCCACAAGATTGTCTACTATTTTTGCTACAGCAGCAAATGAATGTGATTGCTCCGGTAGAAATAATGTCATGTGAAATCTCAGTTTAAACCTCTTCTGTACAATCTTTCATTATTGGCTCATTTTAAACACAAACATTCATCAGCATGCCCTCTTTTAGCCACTTGGCTATTCATCTGGACACTTTATCATTTCAACTACTGATTTTTTTTTTTAGTAGAAGCTACATTCAGATACTTCACATTCCTATAACTGTAGATTAAAAAGAAGCAAACAAGCAAAAACAAGCTTAGGATTCCAGCAGAAGAAACACACAAAAAGTAGTGGCAAGATGGTGAGGGACAACAAAAGGAACCAAAATGTTACCAGCATACTGGTCTAAGATGCTGCATACTTTCTTTCCCATTGCAGAGCTGGGAAACCCACTGATAACCACAATTTGTCCTAGACCACATCATCTGTTTGTAGAGGTGGGACATGAATGAACCCAGCAATTCCAGACCGTTTCAACATCCTACAATGAAATAATATCTCCCCCTCTCAAAGACATTTTCTATATGTACACCTATACACATTTCTCTGCAAAAGTGCAGCATTCAGAGTTTCTGTGCAGCATCACAAAGACCTACATTTGCCTCTCCTCCTGGAACTTAGTAAACCAGACCTCTGTGTACACCATCGAGGGTGCCTTGTACCCAGCCAATCGTGACATTCAGAAACCTTGAAATGGGAACCAAAGAGGACCTGTGGGGAGCGGGGTGGAATGATGTATGATTTAAATATATATGCTACTTCTCTGCTGACTATTCCAGACTGCCCTTATTCCACCTAAAGGGGAAGCATGCACCGTGTAGCTACTTACATCATGGAAGATGGCCAGTCCCTTGCCATAGTTCTGCAGGCTCTCTGTGGATTTGTAAGCATGCTTGGCAGACAGCAAGCACATTGTCAGCATCTCTGTGCATGCCATCATCTTCTCACTAAGGATTGTCAGGCTCGTCTTTCACAGTCCCTGGAAGGCAATTCCCCCAGATCCCCTGCCTGCCAAATTGCCTGCCACACTGGAAGCTCAGGATTTAGTGACTGACAGTGACCGAGGCTGCTCTGCAGTAGTTGGGAACAGCAACTACTGTATACTGAAGAGAAGCTCTTGCCAGCCTCCAGGCAACTTTCAGTGTGTGTCTAAATCCCCTCCTCTAGGCTGCGCCGATTGGGCAGGCTCTTTGATGGGCAGGTCTGCTTCTTCGAGTCTCGTCATCAGCACGGAGCAGCAGACTCAGCAAGAGATTCCTCTTCAGACGGGAGCATTTACTTCAAGGGTGGCAGGCTCTGTTGCTCTAAGCAGAAGGGCACAAATCTCCCACTCCATTCGCACCAGCGGGTACACAGGCATGCAGGAGAGGGTTCAGAAGATGACTCCCAGGACGATAAAAGTTTCTAGAAGGAGAACTGCTTGGGAGAAGGCTGAAGGAGCTGGGTAGAAGCAAAGCTGAAGGGGGACAGTGTTTATATCTCTGGAAAGGATACCAGAAGGAAAGGGGAGGGGAGGGGAAAACAATCCAGAAGTCTTGGAATGGCAAGGATGTCTTGGATGGTTGGGCCATGATATAAGGCTTCCAGGTAACATGCCTGGCCTGGCTATTTGCAGAGTGCAACTCTGCTTGCCCATCTGGATGAACCCTAGAGCAGGGCAGCACGTTTTCTGCATACCCAGCCTATGGGATGCCTGCACATGTGCAAGGCCTTCCACGTTCTACTGCCAGAAATAAGGCATTCTGTGCTGTATATAGTCAGAGTGCTGAGTCAATATTGCAGGGAGCACTTGCTCAGGTTCAGAGCCTGAGCTTCAGTGTATTCTGATGAACTCTTGGTTTCTCTGTGGTATTCTGCACAAAATGTTCTTAGAGTGTGAACAAGCTCCTTGTTTCCCTCCCATTGTCTCACACTAGAAAAAGAAGCACTTCTCAACAGAAACAGACAGATTGCAACAGAAATAAACAATTGCCACGGCAGAGGAACAGGAGGCTATTCTCAAAACAGATTGGCCCTATCATTTGGGGACATGTTCTCAAGATATTCTAAAGCTCATACAGCATGGTTAGGATTGGCCTCACGTACTTAAACAGCTATTCACAACTTGTGAAAAAGGAATTGTTTCTGCCCTTCCCATGGGAGAATTCTCAAGCAATCATGTTAAATTGCTCCTTTGGGTACATCCTAGAGCTTGATGTTGCTGACACCTGTTCTGGATGAAGTTTCTATAGTGCAGTCACCTCAGTTTAAGTCTTGGATTTTCTTTATTTATTTATTTAAAACATTTTTATGCCGCCCCCATCGCAACGAAGCCTCGGGGTGGCTCACAACAGAAACAAATACATAAATATATAAACAATAACCCTATAACAATAAAAAAAATATTTAAAAACCCCCGGTGCATCTCGGCTAAAAATTTAAAATTCTATAAATACAAATAATTTAACAATTAAAATAAGTTTTAAATAAAAAGGTCTTAGCCTGGTGCCGAAAAACAAATAACGATGGTGCCAGGCGGACCTCTCTGGGGAGCGCATTCCATAGATGGGGTGCCATTTTAGGAGGGGCCCAGACATCAGCTTGCATTTGCACCCAGCACTGCTTTTCCACTGTCTTTTTCCTTACCATTGAAAAGCAGTAAATGTGCACAATGCCATATAATTAGTAGGGTGAGGCGCTGTCCCTTTGGAAGCATTCTTAGACTCTTCAATAACCTGGTCCCCCCCAGATGTGTTTGATGATTACTCCCTGCATTTCCCATCTAGCATGGCTGTGGTCCAACTTGCATAGAGAACACCAGGCTGGAAAAGCTGTTCCAGATGAATTACATTTGGAATAAGTCCAAAATTAGTAACCTAGCTGAAAACCACCTTGAGATTCTTCAAACATGCTTGGAAGTAGTGGAGTTGGGGATCTTTTGTCCCATGTTGAACTGTCCTGAAAAACAAGGACATTTACCAAATATTATCCAACAAAGTAGAAATAGAAAGACAAAAGCTTAAACAAATGTTTTCCAAGTAGCACAAGACCTTAATAAACACTTTTTTTCACAGTTCTACTTTCAGCTGCTCTTACAAGGACAACCATATGGACGAGTTACAGGAAAGTTTGGAGGGTGTTTCTCCTACCAGGTGGCTGCTTTGTCTTCTCCCCAGCATCAGGCACTTGTTTTTGTTATGGCAATAGCAGCAGCAAGAGCAAGTCAGGCACCCAATGCCATTCCCCAGGGACCACTGAACATTCAGGTGGTTTGGGAATATCAATTAATGCAGAAGGACCCCTGACAAAATTTGCATCCTCCTGGGGCAATCAGGTGACTTCCAGCAATAACCCCAGTGGGAAATGGCAGTAAATCTGCCTGAAGCACTGTGGCCCATGCGGATGCAGAGGCTTGGCTACAGAAGAGGAGCTCCAGCTTTTGCCAAGAAGCACTGACTGGGGCATGTTGTTTTGAAAATATATGCTAGGAGACAAATGATTCCAAAAGGCTGTCAAATTCCCTTTTGTCAGGTAGGTATTTATGTGAAAGCATGGCACCCCCTCCCCCCGTCCCCCTTTTTTGGCTGGTTAGAGACTGCCAGTACAACACAAAGCAAAATATGACATGGCATTTTTGAAGAAAGAACACAATTTTGCAATTTAGACAGATTTGCTGCTGGGATGAAATCTCCTGTTTCCCCACACTCAGTGCAACTATGTCTTTATCATTTAAAACTGGGAAGGAAGCCATTTGTTGCCTGTGGGATGATGCTTAATGCTAATTTACTTGTACTCTGGAGTCTGTCTGTGTACATGTCTGAGTATCTTTAAAGGACCCTGAATCCTAAGGACACCCCTATTTGTAAAAATGGATGCATGGACAGGGGAGAGAAGGGTCACTGACTACAGAAAAAGTCCTCAGGCTGAAAGATTCAACAGGGGCAGCAGAAGAGGAAGCAGATGTAGGCAAAGTCCTACCAATGCGGGGAGTCAGAGGCAACAGAGACCGTCAGGGCCCCTGTTCCTTTCTTTTAGCAAGTGCTCCTGGCCAATGGGGTGGCGGGGCAGAGGAAATTGTAGGCGTTCGGGGCTTGAAATGAATAATTTGGAGCTGTCCCCTCACAGTACCTCAGCCCACTCCTATATTCCAAACAGAACAGCAGTGCCTGCTAGAGTGTTAGCAAGCAGACCACTCCCCTGGAAGTGCACATCAAAGAGGTATATAAGCTACCCTGAGAATGATCCTAACGTGGGCTGGTTACGGGCTCATTAGCCAACAGTCAGCCAAGTACTCTGTGGCTAGCCATGGCTTGTTCCCCTCCCCATCGCCAACTTCCAGCATGTGTCCTGGGCACCTTTGCTTCCTGCTGCACCCTTTCAGCAATAAGCCTATGGGGGTTGCTGGTTCCCAAGGGAAATCCCCCCACCCAATTCATGCATGAGATCAGCAAATGCAGCTCTTATTAACATGGCATTGCATTTGCAACTGTTTGTTTGTTTGGTTTTGCACCTGGGGCCTCGCTATTTTGCACAAGGCCACCTGTGTGCTATTTAGGCAAACATATCAGTATTCCATACTAGTATTCCCCTCTTGTCATCCTTTGGCACTTCTCTTGCCAGAGAACCCTCTTTTTTAAAATGCTGCTTCAGATTCTACTGAAACAAGGACACCCACCCCTAAAGTTGCTTCTGCCCTGCAGCTGCCAGCCACTTTCATTTTCCCAGCAAGTCAAAGAAACCTGTTGCTTCCCTTCACTGGTCTCCATTGTTATCTGTCATATTTACATATTAGTTACAGACCAGTGGGCAGGATCACTAAACATACAAATCTCTGAACTAAACAAATCTCATAGTAAAATGGTTAAATAGGAGGGGGAAACTTGCAAATTGTAATGCAATTAAAACTGGGAGAGTAAATGCAGTAAAACTGGGAGAGGCAGATATTATAGAAATTCCCTAGCATCAGATAGTCTCTCCAGTGCACCTGTACAAGACCAGGGCAGGGGAGTGTATTTGGGGCATTCTCTGGTATCCTTTCTTCTTGACTTTTCTAAGCACAGGGTGGAGGACCCTGAGAAGATACAAGGGAGATTTGTGGTGGTACTAGCAAGACTGCAAGAAGTGGCAGAAGTCTTCCCAACTTTTCCTGGATATCTCTCCAGCTGTGGCTAACAACCCAGGATAAAGTCACCATGATAATCCATGGTGAGTTGTCTTCTATGAACTAAGTTAATCTGTTTTTTACTTGATATACATTCTAAGCTGAAACAAACAAACTCTGCTAGTCAAAACTTTGGTGTTAGGGAGGTAATAGCAGCTTTAGGAGGAAATAGCAGCTTCTAAATAAAGTCATGATTGGCTTCTTAGATCACTGACGTCAGAGCTGGGGATATTGGGAAAAATACTTTATCTCCATCAAAAGGCCAGTTTTTGCTTCTGTTTAATTCCCATCAAAAAGTGAAGCATTCCCTCAGTATTTCATCTTCCTGGCAGCATCTAATCTAATATCCAAAGATGCTGTTCCTTAGCCTTTATTCCATGGAAGGAACTCTTTGCATACTCTGAAACTCAAGATCCTGTTTAAGCAGGTAGACTTTACAGTCTTAGATGCATCTGTACAGATGTTAAGTGCCACTAATTCCATTGGCCTTATTCCCAGATGATATAGTATTGCAGCCAAAATATATAAGGTAAATTGGCTTTATTTTATTTGTAAACCTGTGATTTTGATACTTTACCTTTCCTTTCCCCTTTTCAAAATAAGTATTCTTAAATGAAAGGGGTATTTTGTTAGTTTTAAAGGGGATTTCTCAGGGATTTCTCACTAAAATCTTCCCTGCAAAAGACAACATGTATGTTAATGTTCCCCTTATATTTGTGCAAGATTTCAAAATGTTACCATGTTCCGCATCCTCTGAGCTTTGGAAAAGTAAAAGTTTTCTTTACTGTTTAACCTCCTCC